AAGGATTTAGGAGTATTGACATTTTTGTTTGGCACTTGCATGGCAAAAGGTCAGACTCAGGCTACAGCACCACATCTAGAATATATGAGGCCTGAGGTTATGGAGAACGTCTCCAGAAGATCCCTCACAACAACTCTCCTCCTCAGCTCTGTCATTGTATTGGTTGAGGTTTTCCTTTTGTCTAGCTTGTATGTTCGGTGTAGATTGAGCTCAGACTGAGTCTCTCAGATATAGTGTGGGATCATTTCATTCAGCACAAAAAAACGGCAAAAGAATGGTTTGTCAGCTTTGCTTTTTAAAACTTTAAATGGGGTGGTAAATGTTTTCTCAGCAGCAGGAATGCCTCAGTGTCTTTATTACAGCATTTTAGACCTCCCTCAGATGATTCCAGCCTTTTGTGACATAGCAGCCCTTTATTTTTGGTGGTTTCAGCATTCAGTTTTATGTGGTAGATGCCAAAGTCTACTCAAGTCCCAGAAGACACATATGGTACTGTTGGTAGACTCTGGATAACACCCAAGAGCCAAATATGTGACATTTATTCACAGTGAATCACAAAGAAACTCTTCTCAATGGTGCTTTCTAAGGTTTTGAGTTCTTCAGTGAAGTTCCAGGCTGATCCGGGGTGAACAGTGTTTGTCTTTCATCTTGCTTCGTTAACCATAGTGAAACCGTTTGTTCAAGTTTACTTAACCCAGCTGTTGCTGAAGTATCTTCCAAAGAGTTCAAGATGGAATCGGGTATTTTACAACAAGGGTCAGATCTCATAGGAATGAAGACCAGTGATTTGAGTTTGGTCATATAGCCAAGTAAAACAGATACTGGCCTCTTTTTTTGTGGTTGTGGGGCATACATTTTTTTTTTTATTTGATACACTCTCTCTGGTCATTAAACTAATGTCCACAACCTATTATATGGCTAACCAACTAGAGATACTTCGTTATGCTAATCATTAACTGAAATATAACCAGCAGAATCTTAAAATTTAAGAAGCTGTTTTATATTTGATCCTAGATTTGTTTTTGATATTATATCATAATTACAGTATATAAATATTTTTTATAATAGTAAATATCAACAATTTTATATATGGTAAACAATAGTAAAATATCGTAAAAATATAGTATTTAGATTATCCTAAATAAGTTTTGTTGAATCTTCAAATGTTGCTTGCATATTTATTACTGTATATTAGTTATTGTTTATTTACATGTAAGAAACTTTTGTCATTCTGTAGAAGTTTAACTTAAAAACATGAAAACAAATTTCTCAATTTATCTATGAGTTCAATATTTTTTTTTTTAAATATTATAAGTATCATTATAAAAAAAAGGTTTATCTGCTAAACAATGAATGCATTACTTCTTATTTATTTATTAACATTTGTAATATTTTTTCTACAGCAGAACCTGTGGATGTCCTAAAAGTATTAGAAATTCCCACTGTCCCAGAAGGAGTACAGAAAACTTCAGGATTTTGCACAAACCGAAGAGCATCACAGCCGGACACAGCCTACAAAATAGGCAAGAATGCCCAGATCAGTGCCCCAACCAAGCAGCTTTTCCCAGGTAAGCTGAACCCCATGAACATGTCTCCACATCCTGCCTACATTTAGCTGCGTTTAAATGTGCCCTTTGTTGTGGTTGCCAAGGCTTTTGACAGCAGATGCCATCCCTGATTGTGCAGGGCCATGTTTCACTCAGACGCTTGTATTGTTAAGCAACAGGAGAACTTGGATGAAATCTCTTGACCACAACGTGGCTTGTCTGCTGAGTTGCATAAGAAATTAACAGAAACTTTTAAAGCGATAGTTCACTCAAAAATGATCATTTACACATTTACACACCCTCATGTCATTCCAAATTACTTCGAACAACACAAAAGAAGATGTTTTGCAGAATGTCACTTTTATGTAACCATATTCTAAGTCTTCTGAGTTTTTATGATAGGTTTGAGATGCATTATGTAATCGGAAAGTGGTTATAATGTTGCAAATGTTTCTTTATATGGTTGAAAACAGATGCATGTTTATTAATGTATGTTAATACCTGTTTAGCATATATAATGCCATATATCTGGGCCCGTGTTTATCAAGCTTCTCAAAAATTAAAAAAGAAATCACTTGTCAACCTGACAAATATATAGAAAGATTTACAGTTTTTTCCAATTGCTAACATCCCTTTTTCCGATCTGTAGTCACATTTTCAAAATTCTATACACAATTAGCACAACATCCGTCTGTTGTGACCATACCATTAACACAATTTGTATTATTTTCATTAACACAATTTGTGTTGTTTTCACACAATATTCAGTCAATTAAAACATTTCTAAGATGCTTAAATTTTCTTTTCACACAAACTTACCCCATACCAAAATCAAGGATCTTTCTTATCTTTTTTACAAAAGCTTAGACACAGCATGTCAGAAATGAAGACCTAATGTTCCAAACTTTAAATATAAAGCCTCTACTTCTGCAACAACAGCAGCTCAAAATATTGTAACATCTGATAAGCATTATCAGTAACAAAAGTACTGATAACAAATCTGTAACAAATCACTGAAATATTTAGAAACAGCTGATTCCAGTCTCAGTTGGAGGAATAGTCAGGTGTTGATGCTCTTTCCATTGCATCAATATAGAGTAAAAAGACCTCTTTGAATTTTTTATTTTTTTTATGTAGAACAACACAAAGAATCAGAGAGAGAGAAAAAAATAATGCCTGGGAGAGGAAGAGGAATAGTTGTAGGAGGGAGAGGAGTAGATTGGTCAGAAAAAGGGAGAAGAATAGGTAGGAGAGAGGAGTAAGAATGTGTGCTGGACTGTGCATTTTTAAGTTTGTTTGTTTGTTTTTTCCCCTTACACATGTGGAACCTATGAAAGCTTATTTGTACCATGAAATATTAAGGGTAAAGGGTAATTGTGACTTTTTTTATCTCACAGTTCTGACTTTTATTTCTTTCAATTGAGAATGTATCTCACAATTCTGATAAAGTCTGAATTGCAAGATGTAAACTTGCAATTCCAAGAATAGAAGCCCAAATTGTGAGATAAAAAGGTCACAATTACTGTTTTTACTTTTTTATTCTGTGATGGAAACAAGCTTGCATAGTAACCAAAGGCCATGTATGTTGGAATTTTTGTTGCTCACTGGCATCAGCTACCATGGGGGCACCATCCGCATCCAACCCCCACCCACTGGACAGCAATTTCAATCAAGGTTCCAACTGAATTTCTGCATAGGGGACCCTATTTTTTTCTATAATGACTCATTCAATTTTAGACAGTATGTTGTCAAGAATGAACACATTCAACACTTAAAAATGTAAAATGGGTTTCAGTTGAAGGTAACTAAATTACAAAAAAACAATGGATGTTTATATTGTCTATACTGTATGCAGGTAGAACTGAAACAGGACAAGTAATGCAGTTTTTGTAAAGTCATCAACTGTTTTTGATTTTGACAGTCACTGTCAAACTGTCAAAAGTTTGAATCGGGTTTGCTGTGTTTTGATAGAGTTAGTATATGTAAAGGTATTCAGCATTTTGAAATGTAGAGTTTGTATTTATTTAACAAAATGTGGTTTTGGCCAGAAAATTTACTATTTGGCTAATTGTGTGATGCAGGTGATTTTTTTAAATTTTTTTTTTTTTTTTTTTTTTTTTTTTTTTTACAAATGCTTAAACACAGCATGTCAGAAATGAAGACCTAATGTTCCAAACTTTAAATATAAAGCCTCTACTTCTGCAACAACAGCAGCTCAAAATATTGTAACATCTGATAAGCATTATCAGTAACAAAAGTACTGATAACAAATCTGTAACAAATCACTGAAATATTTAGAAACAGCTGATTCCAGTCTCAGTTGGAGGAATAGTCAGGTGTTGATGCTCTTTCCATTGCATCAATATAGAGTAAAAAGACCTCTTTGAATTTTTTATTTTTTTTATGTAGAACAACACAAAGAATCAGAGAGAGAGAAAAAAATAATGCCTGGGAGAGGAAGAGGAATAGTTGTAGGAGGGAGAGGAGTAGATTGGTCAGAAAAAGGGAGAAGAATAGGTAGGAGAGAGGAGTAAGAATGTGTGCTGGACTGTGCATTTTTAAGTTTGTTTGTTTGTTTTTTCCCCTTACACATGTGGAACCTATGAAAGCTTATTTGTACCATGAAATATTAAGGGTAAAGGGTAATTGTGACTTTTTTTATCTCACAGTTCTGACTTTTATTTCTTTCAATTGAGAATGTATCTCACAATTCTGATAAAGTCTGAATTGCAAGATGTAAACTTGCAATTCCAAGAATAGAAGCCCAAATTGTGAGATAAAAAGGTCACAATTACTGTTTTTACTTTTTTATTCTGTGATGGAAACAAGCTTGCATAGTAACCAAAGGCCATGTATGTTGGAATTTTTGTTGCTCACTGGCATCAGCTACCATGGGGGCACCATCCGCATCCAACCCCCACCCACTGGACAGCAATTTCAATCAAGGTTCCAACTGAATTTCTGCATAGGGGACCCTATTTTTTTCTATAATGACTCATTCAATTTTAGACAGTATGTTGTTAAGAATGAACACATTCAACACTTAAAAATGTAAAATGGGTTTCAGTTGAAGGTAACTAAATTACAAAAAAACAATGGATGTTTATATTGTCTATACTGTATGCAGGTAGAACTGAAACAGGACAAGTAATGCAGTTTTTGTAAAGTCATCAACTGTTTTTGATTTTGACAGTCACTGTCAAACTGTCAAAAGTTTGAATCGGGTTTGCTGTGTTTTGATAGAGTTAGTATATGTAAAGGTATTCAGCATTTTGAAATGTAGAGTTTGTATTTATTTAACAAAATGTGGTTTTGGCCAGAAAATTTACTATTTGGCTAATTGTGTGATGCAGGTGTGTTGCTGTGTTAAGAGTTTAGAAAAAGTACTTTAAGTACTGGTAAACGCTTGTTAGCAATTGGAAAAAAACTGTAATTGTTCAATTCATCTATAAAAATGTTGTTAAATTAGTTAAAATAATAAATCACTTTTCAATTTGACACATATTTTTAAATATCCATATATTTTCATATGAAGATCACAGGGAAAAAAATATATACTGTGTGTGTGTGTGTGTTTTTTTTCCCCACTGTATATCAAATTTCTTTTCTATATAATTTTGCCCTTTTTTTTCATTAATACATTCATTTCTTTATTTTTAAGTGCCGCTCCTAGTCCTCCATTATGTTTCCAGTTTCAACATTGCAATTAGCTATTTGGATGAACTTCAAAAACCCAAAGAAGCCTTCAGTGAGCTTGTTTTCTGTCTGTGCTGTTTTCTAGATAGTGTGTTTCCTGAAGACTTTTCCATCCTAACCACCATCAAGCCCAAAGCTGGAATCCAGTCCTTCCTTTTGTCCATCTACAACGAGAAAGGCGTCCAGCAACTAGGCGTGGAGGTGGGCCGCTCACCTGTCTTCCTGTACGAGGATCAGACAGGCAAACCTGCCCCGGAGGATTACCCCCTGTTCCGCTCCCTCAACCTAGCCGATGGAAAGTAAGTCACAAAGCAAGTTAAACGTACAGCAGCCTTTTTTTTAGGTTGTTTAGATCCATCCTCAGAGACAAAGACTGAGACCGACTCCAGACAGGGTCAGACAGAGGTCAGTCATCAGCAGGAAGTAATTTGTTGCCAGACCCGAGTTTTAGACTGTTGTCCTGAGTGATTATATGTGTAGGAAGATATTTTTGTTTTAGAGTCATTTCGGTTGAAGAGAGTTAACAAGTAGACAAATGAGAATTTCAGGTGGCTATTGAGGCATTAGTTATGTGTGGTTTCTTCTGCGAGGCGAGCCAGAGGAGATCTCACTGTGACTCTGGATTGATGGAGTGAAGCAGACAGGGCCTTAGGTGATCTGACCTCGGCAGTGATCTTTCAGAGCACTGTTATTCTAGAAAGATGAAAAGTTGGATCCATTGGGGCAGATGCATGACCACAGAAATTAACCTCTTGGGTAACATCATCAGGAAGCTCTTACCAACATTACAATATATTTGTGGAAGTCTGTTTCGTGTCTAAAAATAAAAAAGGTAATTGTGAGATTTTCAAATAAGACAAAAAGTCACGTTGTGAGATATGGAAGCACAGTTGCGAGAAAATCTGTCAAAATTTCAAGATAAAAAAATCACATAGTGAAATATAAAGTCAATGTTATGAGTCATGAAGTCACAATTATGAGATAAAAGTCACATTACGAGAAGTAGTCACAGTTGTGAGAAATAAAGTCACAATTACAAGATAAAAAGTCATATTGTGATATATAGAGTCATATTTATAACAAATAAAGTCACAATTACTAGATAAATGGTCACATTGTGAAATAAATAGTCACATTGTGAGATATAAAGACATAATTGTGAGAAATAAATTCACAATTACAAGAGAAAAAGTCATATTATGAGATATCAAGACAAGTGAGAAACAGAAACAATTACTAGATAAAAAGCCACAATTTTAAATAGAAAATTACAGTTGCTAGAAATAAAGTAACATTTCTGAGATAAAAAAAATCACATTATGATAGTCACATTTGTGAGGAATATTATGACACAAAAGTCTCATTATAAGATACAGAGTAATAGTTGTGAGAAATGGTCACAATTACAAGATAAATAGTTACACTGAGACATAAAGTCCAGTTTATTAGAAATAAATTAACAATTACGACATAAAAGTCACACTGTGAAATACAGTGGTGTGAAAAGGTTTTTGCCCCCTTCCTGTTTTTTTAAATGTTTTGCATATTTATCACACTTAAAAGATTCAGATCATCAAACTAATTTTAATATTACACAAAGATAATACAAGTAAATACAAAATGCAGTTTTTAAATGATGATTTCATTTATTAAGGGAAAAAAGCTAACACAGCATTTCATAAAAAGAACATCATACCAACAGTCAAACATGGTGGTGGTAGTGTGATGATCTGGGGTGGCTTTGCAGCTTCAGCACCTGGACGACGTGCCATAATTGACGGAACCATGAATTCTGCACTCTATCAGAAAATCCTGAAGGAGAATGTCCGGCCGTCAGTTTGTGACCTCAAGCGCACTTGGGTTATGTAGCAGGACAATGATCCCAAACACACCAGCAAGTCCACCTCTGAATGGCTCAAGAAAAACTAAATTAAGGTTTTGGAGTGGCCAAATCAAAGTCCGGACTTAAATCCGATTGAGATGCTTAAACCGTCCATTCATGCTTGAAAACCCTCCAATGTGGCTGAATTAAAACAATTCTGCAAAGAAGAGTGGACCAAAATTCCTCCACAGCGATGTGAAAGACTCATTGCCAGTTATCACAAACACTTGATTTCAGTTGTTGCTGCAAAGCGTGGCACAACCAGTTATTAGATTTCGGGGGCAATTAATTTTTCACGAAGGGCCAGGCAGGTTTGGACAGCTTTTTTCCCTTAATAAAAGAAATCATCATTTAAAAACTGCATTTTGCATTTACATGCATTATCTTTGTGTAATATTAAAATTTGTTTGATGATCTGAATCTTTTAAGTGTGACAAATATGCAAAAAAAATAAAAAAACAGGAAGGGGACAAAAACCTTTTCACACCACTGTATAGTTACAGTTGTGCATCATAAAGTCAATAGTGAGAAAGAAAGTCATCTGAGATACAAAGATAAAGCCACAATTACAAGATAAAATCACATTATGAGATACAAAGTCAGTTGTGGGAAATAAAGTCACAATTACAAAATAAATGGTCACATTTCAAGAGATAAAGTCACAGTTGTAAGAAATAGTCACAATGAAGAAAAATCACAATACATTTTTTTTAAACATCCTTCCTTAGATAGCAGTGATTGTATTAAAATGTACATTAAACATTTCAAATGTTCATTATTGTCCCGACACCCCTTCAGCCTTAACTTGACATCTTCAAATGCTAAAATTAACTGACAACAATGGACGTGCTTTGTCTTATTAGGTTTTAAGAGGCTTTATTGTTGGTATCAGTTCAGTGGGGTGTTTTGCTGTAAAAGCAGCAATATTTATGTGAGGGATTATAGTGCTTATGTTGATTATAATGCTGACAAAGATTTCAGGTTAAATGCACCTTAATTGGGCTAATACTGTCATTCCAGTTCCATCGTGCATGAAGAATTACGGTTAAAAGTGGCTTTTTAAAAATAATTTGAATAGCTAAATAGATTAGCTATCACCATTTTAATATAACTTTCATATGCTTCTGTGGTTTATCTTCCTTAGAGACATAAGAATTAAGGATAAATTGCTATTATGGTTGGTCATAATGATGATAATGTGATCTTGTTTAAAGAATCTGAAAAGCATTTGTGTTAAATTGTGTAAAATGTCTTGATCTCCCATATATTATTATAATCGGAAAACGCTACAATGTGTTGCCAACGTCATTTATGTAAATTGCACATGAAAAGATGAATTATACCACAGTATATCCTTAGGGAAAATGGGTAATTTTTAAGGTGAAAATGTGTGACTTTAAATCATTGCATTTGGCAAGTCCAGGTATTAACTAAAGTTCTAGAATTTCAGTCTGTCAAGTACAATATTGTGGTTTTACACCGTCACACATCTATCAATCATTCACATAATCGCTCTTAACTATGTAAATTGTATTCTGTTAGCAGCTAAATTATTCAGAAATGTTGGTCTCTAGACACAGTAAAGCTTGTGTTGGTTCAAGTTTGCCAAGTACTTTAAAGGCACAAGCCAGAATAAAGGTTTTTCTTTCTAATAAAGTGGATTATGGAAAATTGATCACCCTTGTGGGTGCCATTGATATGCCTTTGAAATCTCACTGTGGCTTCTTACCACAAACCTGTCCAACAGTTTCCCTCCCCAGCTCAATGTTTTGACTCCACAGTTGAGTTTCTCTGCCGTACCTTCCTGACACACACTTTCTACAATGTTCATGGTGTCTGTCATGCTGAATAACTCACAGGAGGGATTTGGTCTAGAGTTTAATGAGTTTAATCCAGTGTTAAACAAGGCCAAAGTTTGAAGGCTGGAATGTGGTCCACTCAGGAATGTTATGTCTCAAGAATGGAAGCAAATTGTCTAAGGTTTTAAAGAAAGGCACGTCTCACGTGTGGTGGCCTTTAACCATTTGCTGGGTTTGTAATCACCTACACTTCCTGTTCATCGCAGGTGGCATCGTGTAGGCATCAGTGTTGAGAAAAAAACTGTTACCATCGTTGTTGACTGCAAGAAGAAGCTTACAAAGACTTTGGGCAGGAGTGACCATGCTGGTATTGACACCAATGGTATAACCGTTTTTGGCACCAGGATCCTTGATGACGAAGCGTTTGAGGTAAAGCTGTTTTCACTGCATTAATGCACTACACTAGCATCTCTCTGAAGGCCTGATGGTATGAGCTGCTTGATCAAGTATAAATGTATGTGTCTTTGATGTGTTTAACAGTATTAGAACAACATCTGTTCATTTGAGAACAGGAGAGCAAACCAGAACTAAATTTATAATTAAGCTCCCAGGGTCTCCACATGCTTTGCCATTTAATGACAAATAAAACTAGCATGGAGCAGAAATAAACAGCCTTGTAAATACAAAAAAATATCAGTTTTGTTCATCTAGTGGATTAAATGGCCTTGCATGCATGCAGACATCATATCTAAAGTATTTAACCCTCAGAAAACCACTTCAGCAAAACTTCAACACAATCAGTTAAAGTGATAGTGAAAAATTTAAATTCTGATAAATAAAAAACATTATTTATGCCTATCATTTAACCCTCGTGTTGTTCCAAATTTTTTCTGTGCCACACAAAAGCAGATATTTTGAAGATTGTTGGTAACCGATTTCAGTTGCCATTGATTTCTATTGTATTTTTGTCCATATAATGGAAGTCAATGGGAACTGAAACTGTTTGGCTAGCATTCTTTAAAATATCTTCTTTTATGTTCCACAGAACAAAGAAAGGTTTGGAACGACATGAGGGTGAGTAAATGATGACAAAATTTAAATTTTTGGGTGGCCTATCCTTTTAAATACCTATTTTTCACTTATAAGACAGTTTATGGGATGCTATGTAAGCCTTTACATTGGTTGCCACAAGCAAGCTATTTGCTTTAGCATCCAATTTATTATTATAGTTCAATGAGAAAGATCTCCATGGCAATCTATTGTAAGCATCTTTTTATGTAACATTGTGGTATGTAGAGTCATTGTTCACTTTAGCCTAATGCATCTTTGTTGTTAATTTCCACTTTAGCAATACTCAAACTTTGATGTAAGTTGTTTTAAAGTCTCTGAGTCTAAAATTTAACTTCTCCACATATTAAAGATGCAAAACTTCTTTAGATTTTACTAGTTTCGGAGATCATTTCCATAATGGCAAAGGTGAATATGTGTCCCTCTGGCCATGAGCTTACTCAGCATAACACAGACAAGCCTTGTGTCACTGTTTACCTTAAAGTGGTCGGGTTTTCCCCTCGCTTCCTGTTATGAAGGCTTCTTTCACCTTGTAATTAAAGCTACTCAAAGCCAGAGGAGTCCACTTCATCCACGGATTGCTCAGCCGAGGCCTTCATTTGACATGGCTAATGCTGTAATTTCAGTAAAACTGAATCATCACACAATATACTTAGAGCCTGATTATATTTATTTGGTGGTTTAAGGGTTTGAAAAGTGTGGATAAATGAGCAAAATATGGATCATTTGACCGGCACAAATCCATTTTATTTAATGACCGGAAAGCATCAGAAAAAAAAGTAAACTACAAGTGTCTTGCACTGTACAAAAACAAGATTTCCCTAGGAGTGGCATATTTATTTCAGACGTGAACTCTGGGACAAGTATTAATTAGCAGACATGACAAATTACAGGGTTAAAGGAGAGTCAGCAGCCCTGCCATCACCTCGATTAGAGCAGAAAATTACTAATGAATGCAAATTATTAAAATATTTTCACAGTCATGACTGCATGTTATGATACTGTTATGATATGCTTAGCAACCTATTTCTGCATTTTTAATCATATCAACACCTCTCATGTTAAGCTAAATGTAGGTTTGACTGTTTTTGGTGCAAACGTGTAGCTTGTGTATTTTAGGTAATGTCTCGGTTACGTATCTAACCCTCGTTCCCTGAAAGAGGGAACGGAGATGTCACGTCGGATGACCGATGAATTGGGATCTCGCTTAGAGAGACCAATCTACTTTGAGTGTAACTAAACGAGCCAATGCACATTGGCATGCGATTATTACATCCAGCTGCCACTGATCACAGCGTGGGTATAAGTAGGCAGCTGGTGCAGCGCATATTCAGGTTTTCGCTGAGGAGCTGAGCCGGTGACCCGGCCGCTCAGCGGTGGTACAAAAGCTGTGGCGACGGGACGTGACGTCTCTGTTCCTTCCTTCAGGGAACGAGGGTTACATATGTAACCGAGACGTTCCCTTTCAGTTGGTCACTCTCAACGTCACGTCGGATGACCGACGAATTGGGATCCCTACCAAAGGGCCACAGATACTGCCCCTTCCAGTGTCCTGTTGAAGCCGCCTGCCCCCCTTCTTTTTGGCGTAGGCCGGGGCTTACCACAAGAAGACCAGCTACTGCTGCGATGACACTACCCACTCAGTAAGACTGGATAACACTGGGAAACGTACCCGTACCACTTGGGACAGGAACGTTGCGGAGCACCATCCTTCCCGAAGGAGGTTTCGGAAGCACTTACACATATGGACAACCGTTTAGGTGCATATGGAAAATTAGCGGTAGTTGTAACCCTCTTGGAAACAGCAGGAAGTTTGCCGGGGAAACACGGGCTCTGAGGCTATACTGTGGATTTTACACATATGGGATTCACTTAGGTCTCTACATATGGAACCCAGCCCTCTACCAGTTCTCACGGATTCATCGAGTGAGGGCCTGGCGCCGGACACTCCGCCACGTCTGGCTGCCAAGGGGATGGAGGAGCTCGACAGGGTCTACGATATGGACTCTCTGGAGCGGTCTTAGCAAGCCGACATGAAGCCGGGCCTCTCAGTGCTTCTACCCATTTAAGGTGAGAACACAGGAGGATACTGGCTCCACACGAAGGCTATAGAATCTAACGAACATGTTGGAGATCGCCCAGCCCGCAACTCTACAAATATCCATCAGCGAGGTGCCCCGAGCCAGCGCCCAGGAGGATGCAACACTTCTAGTAGAGTGAGCTCGCAACCTGAACGGGCAGGGCACACCCTGTGCCTGATAAGCCAGGGTGATGGCATCCACTATCCAGTGGGCCATCCTCTGCTTAGAGATGGCATTCCCCTTCTGCCGGCCTCCATGACTGACAAAAAGCTGGTCTGAGGTCCTGAAGCTTTGTGTCCTGTCTACGCAGCATCTCAATGTTCGGATGGGACAGAGCAAAGCTAGGGCTGGGTCTGCCTCCTCCGGGGGCAGCGCTTGCAGGCTCACCACCTGATCCCTGAAGGGAGTAGTGGGAACCTTGGGCACATAGCCGGGCCGGAGCCTCAGGATTACCTGGATTACCTGGACTCGTCGACCGAAAATTATAGAGGGGGGCCGTGGAGGATTTAGCCTTCTCGTCCCCCTAAGGAACCTGATGATTAGGTCATGCTTCCCCACCGACTTCCCTTCCATGGGGTCGTGGTTGGCAGCAATCACAGCCATGTAGACTTTAACGGTGGAGGGGGACAGCCTTCGCACCAACCCCTGCTGCAGAAAGGACAGCACGACTCTGATCGGACATTTCCGGGGGTCTTCTCGGTGAGAAGAACACCACTCGACGAACAGGTTCCACTTCAAGGCGTAAGCGTGTCTCGTAGACGGTGCTCTCGCCAAAGTGATGGTGTCAACTACCTCTTGGGGTAGGTCACCTAGAACCTCCGCGTCCCATCCAGGGACCAGACATGGTTTCCAGAGGTCTGGACGCATGTGCCACGGGGTGCCTGAATCTGCCAAGGAGGGGCTGTCACAAGGAGTATCCGTTCCGGAAACCAAGTCCGAGTGGGCCAGTAAGGCGCCACGAGCAGGACCTGCTCCTCATCCTCCCTGATCTTGCACAGTGTCTGTGCAAGAAGGCTCACTGGGGGAAACACATACTTGCAAAAGCCCCGCGGCCAGCTGTGTGCCAGTGTGTCCGTGCCGAGTGTTCCCTCGGTCAGGGAGTAGAACAACTGGCAGTGAGAGGTTTCTGGAGAGGCAAACTGGTCTACCTGAGCGGCTCCGAAATGACTCCAAATCAGCTGGACCGTCTGGGGATGGAGTCTCCATTCTCCCAGGAGCACAGCTCGTTGCCCTCCCTGGTTGCACAAAGCGACCTCAGATGCTTCTGACTCGAGAGGAGGAGGTGGCGGGCGAGTTGCAACATGTGACAGGAGCGTAGACCACCTTTTCGGTTGATGTACGCAATGGTCGGAGTGTTGTCCATGCGGACCAGTACGGGCTTGCCTCGTAAGCGCCCTTTGAGACGGATCAAGGCAAGGCGCACTGCAAGCAACTCTAGGCAATTGATGTGCCAGTGCAGGTTGGGGCCCGTCCAAACCCCTGACACTGCAAGCCCGTCGAACATGGCTCCCCAGCCGGTGGTAAAGGCATTCGTGTGAACCACAGCATGCCTGGAGACCTGTTCTAGGGGCACTCCTGCCCGGAGAAACGTAAGGTCTGACCACGGGGTGAAGGTTTGGCAGCAGGCCAGTGTGACTCGGACCCTTTGAGTGCCGCATTGCCACTCCCACCTCGAGACTCGGCCATGGAGCCAGTGCTGAAGCGTTCTCATATGAAGTAGCCCCAGCGGCGTGACTGCCGCTGCAGCTGCCAAATGCCCCAGGAGCCTCTGAAACTGTTTCAGTGGGACCGCCATCCTGTTATTGAATGTATTCAAGCAGTTCAACACTGACTGAGCACATTCCTGCGTGAGGCGTTCTGTCTGTTCGACCGAATCCAACCCTATACCGAGAAAAGAGATCCTCTGCGTCCGGGAGAGTTTGTTCTTTTCCCAGTTGACCCGAAGGCCCAACCAGCTGAGGTGCGAGAGCACCAAGTCCCTGTGTTCGCACAACTGATCCTGAGACTGAGCTAGTATGAGCCAGTCGTCGAGGTAGTCGAGAATGCGAATGCCCTGTTCTCTCAGGGGAACAAGGGCTGCCTCCGCAACTTTCGTGAAGACACGGGGCGACAGGGACAGCCCGAAGGGCAGGACCTTGTACTGATATGCCCGTCCTTCGAACGCAAACTGCAGGAATGGCCTGTGTCGCGGAAGGATCGACACATGGAAGTATGCGTCCTTCAGGTCGATCGCTGCACACCAATTTTGGGGATGGATGCACCTGAAGATGCGCTTCTGCG